ACAAGATTTCATCCATCTGCTGAATGTGGGCTGTGGCCATGTCAGACACTGCCTAAGAACAAATGTCTGTTTTTTTAAATATATATATATGCATATAAATATTTATGTGTATATATTGTATAAAACTGTGCCAGTGATCAAGTGCCTTAGGAAAAATATAGCACATTAGAGAGACAGTGATGGTGGGGAGGATCAACACAGAGTGAGACACAGGCGTGTCTATGTGTGATAGAAGTCCTGGGTGGTAAGTGAGCCTGAGGAATTACCAGGAAGAAGACCGAGGACATCCACAGGCCAAGGAGAGGGGTCTGGAGCACTTCTGTTGCCATGGAAATCTGTAGTGTCCCAGCCCAAAGCATGATCTGTTCTGATTTTGATAGAAATCTCTATATAGAGACTTGCTTGAGGTAGTCTCAATGCTGTAGGACCTCCTTTGGGGACCTCAGGTGTGGGGGCAAAGACCACCTGGGTGGCCGCAATGCTATTTATGTTGAAAAGCCAGAGAGGCTGAGGGAGCTCAGAACCCCAGCCACTGAGGAAGCTTTTTTTTTAAAAAAAAATATTTCTCTTTTTAATCATTTTTATTGTGATTGTGATTACATAAACTTCATAAATTTCACCGTATTGTGAGATAGTGATAGTTAAAGTTACAAACACATTCAAACCTTCATGAGGCAAATTGTCATTATTGTGGTCTATAAAGTTTGTGAATTTTATCGGGTGGTACATACATTTCTTTCCTTTTGCTTAATATAAGCTGTTCCCTCTTTCCCCTCTCATTCCCTCCCTCCCATCGCTGCCCTTGAGTTGCTTAGTTCATTTTCAGCAATGTCCAGTGCAGCTGATGGGCCCCTCTGTTGTATGTTTTCCCATTTCCCTCTGATTCTGCGTCCTCCTCCCAGTTTCTCTCAGTTGTGCACATATATACCATATATATGGTCAACAGCATGGGGTCATTTAGTAATGATAGGACAAGATGAGTGGAGGTCCTTCGTTTCTTGAGTGCTGTTTACTTTTCTCCCCCCCTTTTTTTTTTTTGCCACTCATGGGGCCTGAACTCTGGGCCAGGGTGCTGTCCCTGAGCTCTTCAGCTCAAGGTGAGCACTCTACCACTGGAGCCACAGTGCCACTTCTGGCCTTTTCTGCCTATGTGGTGCTGAGGAATCGAACCCAGGGCCTCATGTATATGAGGCAGGCACTTTACCACTGAGCCACCTTCTCAGCCCTCTCCTTATATTTTGTATTTAACATCCACATATCAGGGAGACCATGTACCGTTTGTCTCTTTGCTCTTGGCTTACCTCACTAAAATGATTTTTTTGTAGTTCTCTCCATTTGCCTGCGAATGCCACTATTTTGTCCTTTCTAATGGCTGCATAATATTCTATTACATATAGGTACTGCAATTTTTTTATCCATTCATCTGTCGTGGGGCATCTGGGTTGTTTCCATATCTTGGCTATTGTGAACAGTGCTGCAATGAACATGGAGGTGCACATGTCCTTGTATCCTGGTTCCTGTTGCTCAGTGTAGATGCCGAGGAGTGGTTTGGCTGGGTCAGAGGGGAGGTCTACATTTAGCCTTCTGAGGACCCTCCAGACTGCTTTCTAAAGTGGTTGTGTTAGTGTACATCCCCACCAGCAGTGCAATATGGTTCCTCTTTCTCTGCATCCCCTCCAGCATTTATCACTGGCTGAATTTAGGATGTGGGCCATTCTGACTGGGGTAAGGTGGTATCTCAGGGTTGTCTTTATTTGCATTTCCTTCACCCCCAGGGATGATGAACATTTCCTGAGGAAGCTTTTAAGGGGCTGCAGTTGAGCATACCTAAGGCAGGGCAAGACTCAGATCAGGCAGCAGGGTAGACTCAGCCTGGCTCCTCAGCCCTCATCTCCTCCAGGAAGTCTTCCTGATATCCCCTAGTTGTCCTGGGGCCTTCTCTGGTGGCACATCCCCAGGAGTTTGCTTCTTCTCAAACCTGGTCCACTATACGGTTGTACCTGTCTGCTTCAAGTCCCTCTTCTAGAGCACATCCTGGTTGGTGGCAAGTAGATGTCTGGATGCAGGTACTTATCAAGGCATTAAACCAAGGACTGGACAGCTGGGAAGTGTGTTGTGTATTTGGAAATGTAATCAGTGAAGTCCCAGATGGTTATCTCCTCCCATTGGCCTTGTTCAGTATTTTCTAGATCATTTTTTCCTGAGTCTGAATGACATTATCTCTCATCTTTGGAGCCTGATGCTTAACAGATCCTATTACAGAGTTAAATCCGAAGTCTAACCAGCCACTCCCAAACATACCACGCTGTGAGCCCCTCCAAACTCCTTCACTTCTGAATCTTGCATTAATTCCATGGTGCAGGTTTGGGGGAGATAAGTCACTGAAGTGGTATCCACCATGTATCTTCCATGAGAAAGCTTTGGTTCTGTTACCTAGCCCCACCAAGCAGGTGGATGAGAAAGTGAAGTCAGAAGGGTCATCTGCCTTAAAGTCAAGGGGTGAGCAAATAGCAGAGCCAGCGGGTGTAGGTGATGCCCCTTCTCACTGGGCCAATCAGCAACTGAGTAAGAATCTAAACCATCTAAGAGGCTATTTTCATTGCTGTTCACTATTAATAGTCCAATGGGCAGACCATCTGTAACCATGACTACTCTATACCCATTAGAAAAGAGGATGTGGCTAAAGATGTCATTTGTGGGAATGTACAGTGGTAGTGTCTGAATTTGGCACACACACACAAATATAACAATAGTCAGGTGCTGTGACTCATACCTACAATCCTATTCAGGAGGCTGAAATACGAGGATCACACTTAAAAGCCATACTGGACAGAAAAGTCCATGAGACTCTAACTCCAATTAAGCAGCAAAAATGCTAGACTAGAGCCATGGCTCAAGTAGTAGAGTACTAGCCTCGTGGCTCAAAAAGCCTGGTGAGAGCCAAGAGGCCCTGAGTTCAAGCCCCAGTACTGGCACAGAACAAAACAAAAAAAGTTATTAAGGCAGACCCCAATGCTACTACAAATCCAATGAAATTAAACACTGAACTCTATATAAAATTTTTGTACATTTGTAGCAACATAATATCCACAAAGTAAAATCCACCCAAATGTTCAAGTGTTGTGGACAGCTAAAATGTAGAGGAAAACTTGGTAACAGAAAACATAATACTGTGAAAGAAGCCAGCTACAAAAGGTCGCATGTTATATGATTCCATCTATATACTGTGAGAATTGGCAAATCCTGGGATACAAAGTAGATTGACAATGGCCAGGGACTGCAAATGAGGGTGGAGAATACTTGGGAAGTGACTGATAATGGATGTTAGTGTTCTTTTTCAGGTGATAGTAGTCGGATACAAACTCTGCCATTATACTAGAAATCCACTGTATTGTACACTTGGAAAGGGTCATTTACCTCAATAAAGCTATTAACCCAAACTAAACTTATTGGTTGTCTTCAAGCTCCAGCTCACTGACGAGCCAAGCACAGAAAAATCTTGTACAGACAGGAAGCTTTGTTCCCAGGAGCCATTGGATCCCAAACCCTGGGTCTGGAACGTAGCAAGTTCACTCCCAGATTGGGCAAGAGGCCTGTTTGCATCTTTTCCTCTAACACACATTCCAGTGTCCTGACTGATTTAGGTTATTCCTTTTCCTGGGCTCACAAGTTTCCTTGGAAAAGGCCTGGAATGATGAGCTTCACCAGCTTAGCACGATTCCAGTAGAACTGGCCCTACTGGGCCCACTAGGTCCAGCCTTTGCCTCCTTGAAGGTAATATTATCACCTCCACAACACATCTGGAGATGGAGGTCCAGTGAGGCGGTCTGCATTCCAGGTGGCAATGGCGGAAGTCCCTGTCCACCACATACTCTCTCAGCCATCCTGATTTCCCCAGGCTTTCCTTCTCATCAGCAGAAGGACACACATCACAACAATCAAGCAATGTGGTGGAATAACCAGAAGTGCCTAGATTTTTAATAAATTCCAGTAGAACCTGGCTTTCATTGACTCAGGCAGATGTGGGCTGTGTGCTTTCTTCCTCATTCCCAATCCAACCACTATGGCCTGAGCAGAGCAGAGCACTCTTTCCCTTCTCTCTGCACATGGGCACTTTCCCCTCAGCCTCCTCGAATACAGCCCTAGCCTCTCATATACCTGGCCTTCCTGCTGTGCTGGGCATGTCTGGTTTCTAGTGTGGACCACCCTCAGGGGGCCTCTGATATACCTGGCCTTCCTGCTGTGCTGGGCATGTCTGGTTTCTAGTGTGGACCACCCTCAGGGGGCCTCTGATGTGTTTGGGAGGGACCACCAATGCTTGTCCAGTCCCCCTCTCCCCCAGCAAAGTGTGGTGGCATGAATTCAGACAGCGCCTGGCCCATCTGGAATGGGAAGACCTGTGTTGAAGGACATGGGGCAGTTTTCTGCAGCATGGGAACAGAGGCAGAGGGAGTCCTTCCCTCGAGGGACTAACCAAATGGGATTGTGATGCTATGCCATGAGCTGGTTTTGCTCCTCCCAAGCAGGTGCCAACAAACACACAAAACACAGGTTTCCAATCACATATGGCTTCTTTGACCCCATCAAATAACTTTATTCACACAAACGTCCCTTAATTTACAAAGCCTCAGTCATTCATACATTAGGGGATCCACAGTGTTCGAGGAACTTAAATATAATGTATCATATCAACCCAAGTAAACCAAGTACAAAAAATATTCATATAAAGTTGTTCACACGTAGGTCCTAGATTACCAGCTTCTGTGCAAAAAAGAAAATAAGAGAAAACAGATTAACTAGTATTTGAAACTAACCTGTGCCTGCCTTAAACCCTCCCTCACAACCAGATCTGCCCCACGTAAGTCAGGAGGCCACGGGAATGCTCTACCCAGCAGACAGCAAGAAGCTCCTGGGGCACACCATTTCTTTAAAAAGCCCCCCAACAGCTTCTTTCCTCCTATGATCTTGCCTGGGAAAAACAAGTGTGTGTATGTGGGGGGGAAGGGGCATACAACTTCAGGTACCCTGTGCAGCCCTGGGGGAGGAGGGCCTCAGGCAACTGAGGGCAGTGGGGTCATCCCTAAGTGGGGGCTGTGGATCCGGCACCCCCGCCCCACTTCCTGCCAAGAGCATTCTCCAGACAGGAGTCCCTGACCTCAAAGCCGGGGTGGGGTCAGGGTCTGAGGCAGTTAGTTATCTCTGGGCCTCAGCCTCCCAAATCTGCTGGCCTAGAGAGATGAATAACGAAGTGTCCCTGTTTGGAGGTTGCTGCACCTCCCGACTCCCAGCAGCTAAGTGTGGGCCAGCTAACCAGACAGATTTGGGGGTGGCGAGGGGAAGAGCAAGTCAAAGAGAGGACTAACCAGGAGATTTACCTAGAACAAGAGCCAGCAGCACCCTGGAAGGAAGGAGAGGCTGGAGGTACTCTTGAGGGAAGAGGACTAGGATAGTGATAGGGAACAAGGCAAGGGTAGTTAGGGTCCCCTCCTTATTAGCAGGTAGTGCCTGACTCTTTCCAAACTCCCAAGATACCCGAAGGCTAAAACCTAGATATCTATCCCTGTGTCTTCTTCTAAAACAGTACACAGTAATAACATTAAAAGATCCCACACCACCAGCTCTTTTCCTTTTCTTAGAAATTCAAGCAAAAATAATAATCTTATTGCTCCAAACACTGGTTTTCTAGGATAGGAGACAAGTGATATGTTGAGTAGCTGAGAATCCTGGGAGGGAATGATGGAGGGGGAGAGGTCCTAGCACCACAGGGTCAGGGGGAGGGAATGAAGGGCCCCATCTTCTCTGCCTACATTCGCTCCATGGCTACCACTGGCAGTGCCATAAAGGAGGCCAGGCCCAGTCCAGAGTGGACTCTCCACCCTCGGGTGGGCACATTTCTCCTCCAGCTGTAAACAGGGTTATTTCTTAAGTAAACATTTAACACACTCCCTCTGAAAGGCAGCCACGGGAGCAAACCCCCAGCAGGGTGGGAGGATTTGAGTATCCATTACCTGTCCAACGCCTCTGGCTGGTGTGAGATGAGGCTAAGGCCTGAACCTTAGTCCCCTTATCCTCTTACCCAGAATGGGGTGAGATGGAGCCAGTCTGGAAGAAGCAGATGTGACCTTTTGGCTAGAGGTAAAGGCAGGGAGGGACCGCTGGGGACACAAGACAGTGTTGTACCTGTGGGCAGCAGCTCTCCTGTCTAGGGCCAAAGCTACCTGGAGTGCCCTGGAGACAGGTGGGTGTTGCTTGGGTGTAAGGGGGTTGGGGGTAAGGACCTTCTTTCCCCTCTGGCAATCCGCAGGTGAGAAGGTGTGAGTGCAAATGACAGGTAGACAGAGAAGGAGAAGATGGCCATGTGCTTCTGGTTGAGCCAGGAGTCTGGCCAAGGAGGACAAAGGAATAAGGCACTAAGATCTGTCCTGCTGACTCCTCTCCCAGGAGGCTGAGGCCAGGACAGTCCCCCAACAGTCTACCCTTTTCATATATCCAGGAAGAGAACTACTGTTGTAAGGTGTCTAACAAACTTGGGTGCTGAGATGATTTGTCATGGCTGCTGGCAGGCCCGAGACCCAGGTGGAGGCAGGAAGAGGGGAATCAGCAGGTGGTGGCTGATGTCTAAAACTGACTGGGAGCGCAGTTCTGTAAAGACTGCAGGAGCCCCTTGGGGGTGGGCCCACAGACCATGACAGTGCAGGGCACGGAGGGGAAGAGGCAGGGACAGGCACTTGGGACTCAAGAGCTGGCCCTCGTTAGAGCTAGGGAAGGAGGTCCCATCGAGCCAGAGCTGGTTGAAGTCCTGGAAGATAAGGTGCGAGAAAGTAGGCTGCCCCTGTCAGGCCGCCCACTGTGACCTCCAGTGACTACTGACATTTAGAGCCAAGAGCCTGGGCTGAGCAGAACAAAAGGACAAGCAGGTCACCTGCTAGGTCTCTGTCTGCTCCGAGTTTAGGGACCGTTTTTCCCATCTGCTCATATATGGAGAGATGAGTCCGCAAGGAAGGCAGGAAGGTGGAGCAGAGGAGCAGCATGCTCTGAAATCAGAGGAGGCTGCTGGCTCACCTCTGCCTGCCACCCTCCCTCTCCATCTACCTCTCCTAGCTGCCATTCACAATATACTCAGGAGCCTGCCTGAGAAGTCAGAGGAGAGGAAACAAGGGCCAGGAAATCATAACAGGTTTCAGCCCACGAAGGGAAGGAAAAAGCCTTGTTGCCACCTGTAGCCCCATGGGATCCCAAACACTGCAGTGAGCCTTCTGCCAAGGGGAAGAAGAAATCTCATAGTGCAGCTGAGGGGCTCAGATAAGGCTGGAAAAATTCAAACAGATGCACAGCCAAGTGGGGGCTGAATGTGCTGCTCACTTGGGCACTGCAGGGCCACAGGACTGCTGCTTATGGGGGAAGTCCCTCTTGGTCACACACCAACTGAAATGCCCTCCAATCACCTCCCCATCAGTTTAATGCTAGTTTGGGGGGTGGGGAGTGAAGAAAAACAAAATAAACACAAACGAGCCCTTTCCTCTCCCCAGAAACCCTATCCCATTTGGCCATAAATATAGGTGAAAAACCTGGAAAAGCAATGGAGCAGACAAAGGCGTCCAAGCTAGAGAAGGGAATGGCCAGCTGGGCTCCCGGCAGCAGCCTGGAAGGAGGGGGCCTAACATGAGGATGGGCACCCACTGAGACAGTCCAAGGGGTCAGGAAGATGGCGCTTGACATGTCACTGGATGTAACATGGTGGACCCTGGCAACAGGGCACACCTTCAGAGACGACCCAGGTGGCAGCCAGTTCAGGACACCGCTATCATGGCAATCAATGGTCACAAGACCTTAGGGCCCAAGCAGAGTCTGCAGCACACCTGGGGAGCCGACGATCCTGGAGGCAGCAGGTGAGGGTTGCTGAGCTAACAATGCTGATGGCATCCGAGGAGGACTCAGTGTGCTCCAGAAAGAGGTTTGGCACAACAGTCCTAACCAGACAGTAGGCTTGCGCAACTAGCTGCTCACTGCAGCAGTAGGCATGGTTGCCCTTGGCCTTCTCCCTCTGGGGCTCCCAGTTATAAAGGGCAGAAGAAGAAACCAAGTCCTACCACTGAATCCTGGTGTGGCCTGGACTCCCAACAGCTTAAAGGGAACCAAACCTGCAGGCTATGCTCCTTTCTGGAGTCCTCCTGGCCAAGCCCTGGCCTTCCTCATCCAGGCAGCTCTTCACCTCTGCTCCTGTGTGAGGTCCAAGGGCTGGCCAGTACCAGCCCACCAAGGAGTCCAGCTGTCCTATGTCTGGGAGGAAGGTGGCCCAGAAAACTCCTATGTCTTCATGTTCTATTCCAAGAGAATCCCCAAACACTCTCTGGGGAGATGGATCTTCTCCAGGGAGTGAGATGCTACAAGCAGAACTTGAGACGCACAGAGAAATCAGAAGGAAAATGACACAACTCAAATCGCTCCCTAACCTTTTACAGAAATGAACAGTAAAATTTACACATGCTTTGTCCACATTGAATTTCTTTAAATGATGCCTGTCCACAGCATAACTTTCTGTTCTTCTGAAGTCTCGATGACTTAAATTAAAAAGAAAGAAAAAGGACAGGAAAAAAATAACAACAACAAAAAACAAAACGCAACCAAAAGGAGGGGAATCCCAAACAAAAGCTTCACATTGCCGGAGGTCGAAGCTGTTAGGAGGTCACCAGTCAAGCCACCACCTGTACGCTCTGCTGTCCTGTCCGAGGCATGATGAGACTGTGGGTCCCGAGGGATCGACCTGGAAGATAGAAGGCAGGCAAGGAGTTGACACTTGATCAGAACCTGGAGCACCAGCACCCAACCCAGAGTGTATGTATGCTGGGGGCTGAGTCCTCGCTAAATACTTTGAGTAACCTGAGCATCACGATAAACTCTGACAATTACAGACATGTTCTTATTTCTCAGGTCACAACCAGGGCAGACATTAGAAGTAAATACAGATGCTGGCTCCAGCTACCACTCAAGCTTCCTCATAAACCATCAGGAAACAGACCCTGCTAGCCCCAGTCCTGTTCAGCCCTTCCACTCCACCTCCTCATGGTTGCGCTGTGTAAGCCTTCCAATAACCCACTGAAGTTTTCATTGCCCAATTTTAGACGTGAGAAACTAAACTGAAGGCGCAGTCTCACCCACCAACGCCAAAGGTTGATCAGAGTCAGGTTTCTCCGAGTCCAACTTGGTCCAACTCTGCCATGCTGCTGGGGTTAAGGCTGAGGGCTCTGGAGCCAGAACTGAGTTAGGCAGATTCTGACTCCTGAACAAGAGCCAATTCAAATCCTCTGTTCCTTACTCTCAGCACTATTCTACATTAAATATTTTTATAAAGATTAGGTCATACGAGACCTAATGACAGTGATCTAATGATAGAGAGGTGTTGCGAGAAATGCATCATGGTTTAAACAAGCCAAGATGCATACAATGTCAGCACATGGCCCATTACTGACCAGAATGTCACTATATGGTATGTGACTGGGTATCTACAACATGGTAAGAATACTTCCTATTAGTGTTTGAAGTTGCCTGGCAGGGACTTGGGCAAGTGGAAACCTAAAACAAAAGAAGCCTATAAAGATTAGACGTGAGCCATCCCCATACTCTGAGCCACCTAATCAGAGCTAAGTATAGCCTTGTCCTAGGTGGGGCAGGCCATCTAGGCGGTAATTCCCATCGTCCTTGCACTTGGAATTACCTAAATTTTTTAAGTGGCTGGCTGCACTCAGATTACTGAATAAGATGAATCTTCTGGCTGAGGGCATCAGGACCCTGCCTATAGTGTTGAAGGAGTATGACAGCCTCTAGAAGGCGGACTGACAATGTGCTTTCACAATTTTCAATGTACTTAGACTTGGAGCCTCATAACTCCGCTGCCAGGAGCACAGCATCTCTGAAAACCCTAAATATGGAAAGGATTTTGTGAATAAAGATGTTTATTGTCCTAAATTACATGGATGACTGAGCAAATGCTCCATCAACTCAATGATATATTGCAAAGAAAATGAGAGATGTGTGGCATTTAAACACTGACCAAGCCCATGTCTGGGTCAAGCTGGAAGTTTAAGTTATATAGCTATGTGCCAGAAAGCAGGAACATGGTTTGTCTCTCAGTTTTGGCTGCAGTTTAACCCCCTAAGAAGAATTTAGGGAGTAAAATTAATCTGACCAGTCTGTGGATGGGTGGGTCACCTGGGAAGTGATAAGGATTAGATACAGACTTCAGCGCGGAGGCCCCCTACCCCCTAATGAATCCTGGTAACTTTATCAGAAGACTCCAGTCTTGTCATGTGATTCCCTGTGCCACCATAAAACTCCACCAGCAAGAACAGCCATCACCAGATCTGACTTGGAGCCAGAACCATGAGCCAAAATAAATCTTTTTTTTTTAATTTACCCAGTCTGTGGCAATTTATTATTAGCAACAGAAAATGGACAAATAAACTTTGTGTAACACCTCCCATAGGGAAAGCTGGCAAGAAAATACAGTAAAATTTCCTCTTCCTCCACCTGACAGTATTGAATACATAGCACATTGTTGAGCTAGAGTTTTTAATGGGAAATAGTGCATTTTAATGAACAAGACAGCTCCAACAGAAAAGCCCAGACTAGGCTGTCATCCAGGCACTTCTACGCAGCGGGCAGTGAATCCTCTAAATCTATTAAACAAGGTCAACGTGGCTCCAGCTCCACTGACTGCTAACTCCTCTTAACAAAACTCCCATTGTGGGTCTTGATTCCAGTTTTTTACTTGGGAGAAAAAGCAATCATTGTAAATATAAACTCCCTGATGATTTGGCAGCCACCTCCAGTCCTTGGATTGTAGATTGCTTCCTGTAGATGAGAGAGAACAGCTGGGAGGCTGAAATGAGTATTCAATAGGTACCCTCACCATCAACATGTAAAACTTTGTGAAGTACAACAGAAGCCAGGGAGATCACAAAGTCAACATGGTCTGCAAAGAACTGAGGAGAACCTCCTCAGAAGGATACCCATCAGCAGGATACCCATGGCTACTGACAATGAGGGGAGGAGGCAGGGAGATGTACAAAAATGGACCAGAAATGATCACCAGGCCCCCTGTAGGAAGCAAAGCTGACATTTCCCTTCAGCGCTGGAGCTGGCTGTGCTGTCTTAGTAGGATGGTGTCAGCCTGGCTCTTCCTGGGGAGACAGAGCAGAGTTTTGATGGCTGACTGCAGGACAGAACCTTGGCTTCCTGCTCCTCTTTCATCCCCCCTGAGAACCCATTGCACAGTAGGCTCACTGCAAAGTTTAAGGGCTGGGGAGAACATGCCTATAATTCTAGCTACTTAGGAGGCAGAGTCAGGAACCTGGGCAAAGGTAGCGAAATCCTGTCTTAAACATGAAATAGAAACCAAACAACCAATCCGTTTTGCCTGTATACCCATGTTTAATTGAGGCATTATTCACAATAGTCAAACTGTGGAACCAGCCCAGGGGCCAATCAACAGATGTGTGGTATATATACATGGTGAACAGAGCTTTACTCAGCCAGTAAGAATGAACTATTGTCATTTCCTAGCAAACAGAAATAGAGAGCAGTAAGTTAAATAAAGTTATACAGTCCTAGAAAAGACAAACATTACATGTTTTCTGTCATTTGTGAAGTTACAGGGAAACAGAAACAAAGGCAAGAGGGAAGATCAAAAGGGTGGTGGAAGTGAGACAGGCAAGAGCAATTGAGGGATAGATATGGTCAAAGCACACTATGTACGGATGGATGCCATTATTAAACCCCATACACACATGAGTGGGACAGCATTTCAGTAGTCCCCTGGATTCAATCAATCCCCAGCACAGCAAAACAAAATAAGACAAAGCAGAAAGCAAAACCTCGTGGAAAGAATTCCTTTATACAGCCTGAACAGGAAGGAACAACCAGAACCACACGGGTCATGTGTCTAAGTTAAAGCAGCCAACTCTCTTTGACATTTGTAGTACCATGGATGGTGTTGGTCCTAGCCTTCAAGGGCCCTCCCAGACCCCTCCTTCCTAGCAAGAAGAAATTATCAGGTTTCTTGGCTGTCTGGACTGTAGTCTGAGTCCCTGATTTCCAACCTCAGCCAAGACTTGCTTGTCCCTCTCAGTACACCTTCACCCCTCACCCCACTGACCACAGAGCCTTCCTGGAAGGCAAAGGCACAATTGCCAAACATGCTGGAAGATGGTGCTAATGTGCAGTGGGCTTCATGATAATGTGGGGATGGGTTTGGCCAGATGAGCAAACTGAAGCTCAGGGTAAGGCTGCCCAGGAAGTAAGTGGCAGAGGACTTTTAACCCAAGCCTAGAGAGACAGGAGCTTGAGTGGAGCTTAAACCCCATTTGATACATTTATAAATAGAAACACTCAGAAAAAGGCTTGGGGCTTAGGTGCCTCTGAACAGGTTTGATGCCCAAGACACAGATGCAGTGCCAACTAGCCAGTGAGCAGTCTTCCAGCGAGTTCCTTGGCCAGCTGTGCAGTTGTCTGGCCTGCCCCCCTAAGAGTCAGGGGAACCAAATTGTTCCCATTAAGCCATAAACAGCTTGGCACACAAAGTAGAAAGAGCTGAGAAGTAGGCAGCATGAGGATGGTGCCAGGGATAGCAAAGGCTCCTACCTATTTCCTGCCCCCACTCAACCTGCAAACATTGAACATCTTAGTCAATAAAGGACCATCCTTACTCTCAAAGTATCATTTCTTTGGCTAAATGAAATTAAGTAGGGATTGTGTAAAAACTGCCCCAGCTCTGACCTCTGGTTTTAAATTGTACTGTCTTACAATATGTATAAAGTCTCGGAAGTCACAACTACTTTGAAATACAGCATCCTCACTCTGGTCCTCTAAGAGAAGGCTTAACACAAGTTTAATGGCAGACAGACAAAGGTTCAAAACCAAGTTCTACTACTTACTAGCCACTTTTATGATTGAGCCTCCTCTTTTTAGAAAATGCAGATAGTGTCCCTTTGACACTGAGTAAATTGCTTGTTTCAGAATCTGGCACAGAATGGCAATCAATCAGAGCTCACTCTGACTCTTGGAGTGTTACAGGCTGGACTGTCCTGAATTAATGTTGGGTCAAGGTTTAATTTAAAAATCATCCTACATCCTCTACATAGTGGGGGAATAAAGGCAGGGTGGCTTGTAGAGAGCAGCCCTCTGGTCCTCACTGATGTAATTGTCTGCTATCCATTGCTGTAATGGCCCCAGGGCAGCCAGAAGGTGGCAGAAGTATTCTCAGAGCCTTCTGACTACTTACACCTGAAGACAGATTTTTGAAGCTAACATGAAGAAGTCTAGGATCTAGAAGCCTGTAATACAAGCTGGCAATCTGCTATGATATGTGTTGTTTGCTGTGGGGCTGTCTCAGATACCCACGAAGGGTGGCCAGCACTCCAGGCAACCACTGGTACTTGTCTGAAGGTGGCTCACAGCCTAGTCTGTAGGCTTCAGAGTGGCATAGCAGTCCTACCTGATGGTAAGAAAGACACCAAGCACCTGTGATACAGGTATAGGCCCTAGCATATACCCCTGGCTCTATATGCACATTTATCTGTGAAAGAAAATTCTCTTCACAGATGAGGAATTCCCAGTGATGAAGGATGGTTGGCAACTTGCAAAAGGCTGGCAAGTACAAGAACCAAGTACATAGCTAGTAAATGGTTGATAGGAATTCAAACCTGAAGCCTAGTTTCCTCCAATCTACTCTGCTTCTCACTGATTTCTATCAGAAAAGTCATTTGG